CCCCCCCCCCCCCCCCCATGCAGTTCCTTCATCATAATGTATGGTTTTCCTGAATCTTAGTTTGTAGTTCAGTTTAGCATGGTGTCATTTACAGTCATTTAAAACCAGCGTTAACCAGAATCTGAAATCAATAACCCCCTTTGGTTTCAAACTCCTGCTGGTGATAATTAGAAATGGCAGCTATTACTCCAGGTTTGCCAATACATTAATCCACAGACAAAACCCAGTTGGCAAGTTGGTTGCTGTGGTTGACAGGGGTGATGTGAACATTCTTGCTAACCAACCACAGTGGCTTAATATGTCATATGAGCAAACTGAGATTAGGAACGGGGGTAAAGCACTGAGATGACCATGACTGAGCAATCAAAGCTCCACCCTTCGCTTTATGTGTTATATATGCAACATGTGCAAAAAAAAAAAAATCGAGGGACTACCTCTATCCAATTCCATCTGCCCGTACCACTGGATCCAGCAGAGTGGGTATGTACAGGTTCCGTCATCTAGTGATTTGTACCTAGTACTTTAAAAATAAACCACCAAAACCATTTATCATTCTAGCTGTATTGGTTGCTGTTAAGCCAAAAATTGGGGTATAAACTTGATAAGGAAACCCACGTATTTCACATGCACCATCATCCCAGGACTAAACTCCCCTCCCTCCCTATTAGGGATCAGTCTGATTCTTTAGATTCAGAACCGAGTAAGATGACCAAGCTGAGCCTCAGCTTCCAATGCAAAATGGTAACAACACGCTGGTGGAAAAGCCACCAGAGGAGACCTGGATGCAGGCTGAGTCAACTGATCCAGAGTTTGACTTAGGCAAGGTCCTACGCCCAGCAACACATTGCAAATTATGAAGCATAGAACAAAGAAAGTCAAGGTGTCTCCTTGAAAAAAAGAAACCCAATTCAGCAAATTAGTCAAGCTGGTAGTCAGGGATGACTGCTTGACCAGCTCTTTGTAGCAAATAATGTTCCACCTCCTTTCCTGAAAACTCTGCCCATGGGCTGTTTTGAATTACCTGCTGAACTGTAGATCAGTGTTTCTCAACCTCGGCAACTTTAAGAGGCGTCGACCTCAACTCCCAGAATTCCCCAGCCAGCAGTTGAAGTCCATACCTCTTAAGTTTGCCACGCTTGAGAAACACTGCTGTAGACTGACTAGTTGTAGTCCTCCTCCAAACCTGTGATTTGTCTCTCTGGATTCATTTGGAGAAGCAATCTCTTGTGCCTACACTTTCCATGCACTTACAGCAGGAAGTTTTACGTCTGCAACGTGCTTTTGCGTTGCTTCAGTTAAAGATTTATGGCTGCAGCAAATACCTTGAGTTTGTAGCAGAAGCTGGCTGCATGCGTCCTTGGCAGCACAGAACACGGCCCTGCTTTCCCAGGATGCCTTCTGGTTCACCAATCAGATGCTTTTCGAAAACACAAAGGATGCTTAGAAAGGGACCGGCAATATATCACGACCGAGCTAAACGATAGTCTCCCTCTCATCGTTTTGTCAGATCAGTCATTAATAGTTGCGCCCTGCTCTCAAGATGGATCCCTTGCAGGTCTCTTAGATTATTTTTGTCTTGGTAATAACTAGACTGCCCTTGCTTCCTTTTAGCAATGTTAAAGTATTATGGCATCATGTACAGTGGTAAAAGCACACGTATTCTCACAGTAGATGAGAAAAAGTTCACAGCAGTCAAGCTGCAAGCAGTGGTTTGCGGAAACTTATTTTCTCAAGGCTTGATGGCCACAGCTGTCTCTTTTAAACAGGCTCCCCGCCTCACAGGGGACAGCTTCACAAAATTAAAAAAAAAAAGAAACGTAACAGGCCTGAGAGACTAAATCCATTTTTAAAACGATTAGTCACAAACTCTGTCTAGTCTACTTGGTTATGAGGCTCAGGATTCTCATGGTTTCTAGATGGAATGGCAAGCCTCTTTTGTATTCACGCCAAGGAAACTACATGGACATGTTGAAGAGCATCAGGAGTCAAGCTCTACCTGAAGGAGATTCTACCTATGTTTGTCAACCCTGGAGGCTGCAATAGTTGCCTGTCAGGGATAACTAGGTTTGATGTCTGTTTACTGCCTCCTGACTCACAGGTAGCATGTCCTAAATACCAGGTAGCTGCTGAGGAATAACAGTGGAAGGGGGCAATTACTCTGCAGTCCACTTTGAAAGCTCCCTGAATACAACAGGTTGGCCTCTGTGTGAAACAGAATGCTGGCCTAGCTAAGCCTTGATTCTGTTCTTGCCTCTAGGCCAATGTTTCTCAACCTTGGCCTAGGTTTCTCAACCTCAACACTGGCCTAGGCAATTCTTACCTTCCTATGATATCAGCAGACTAGATGGCAACCTTACATGGTTTATACACTATGCAAAAACATATGGGGAATTCTGGGAGTTGAAGTCCACACAACTTAAAGTTCCCAAATTTGAAAAACACTGTGCTAATCCAAAAACAAAGAAGTTTACTTATGGCTTAGCCAATGTGTGAAGCCCACATTGGCCTGAGAGAGAGAGAGAGAAGAGCAGGAAAAGAAACAGAGCTGCATAAAAGAGGGAGAAGATGGTGGCCAGGTGATTTGTGCTCTGTTCCAATGGTAACTCCAGATGGGCAGCCTCAGTCCACTTCCTTCTCTCTGGGGCTTTATACTTCACATAGACTTGAACAGGGCAGCACTTTAGTTAGAAGACTTAAAATGAATGGATTATCCTTTGCCCTCTACAGAATTGGCCAATCCAAGCAGGAAAGCCCCTTCTTCACAGTATCAAAGCTGCCTCTCTTGCTACCTGCAGTGGTAAAGTGTCCCCCCCCCCCCATCCCCTGGTAGTAATGAAAGGAAGCAGAAGGAACTGGGATCCTACTGAGAACTTAAAATAGTTGAACCCAAGATGTTTATTGTTCAAAATAGTCAAATCCAAGAAGCCAATAGATGTAATCCTGGGAAGAAATGGATTTCACTTCCTATATACCTCTTATGGTCTCTCCATTTGACATCACCGTAGGCAGGAAGAATCTAGTGGCAGCATCAACAAACAGGAAAGCCACAACATTTCACTGGCTTTGCCCTGATGCAAAGCGAAGGAAAAAGGGAATTTATTTATTTATTAAACCAGTTTATATAGCCACCCATCTCACCACAGGGGACTCTGGGCAGCATACAACAAAGCTAAACACAGTCAATAAATACATTAAAAATATTTGGTACATCTATCAAAATTGAGCTGCAAACATCCTGACCCTGCTAGATGGCAGCAGAGAGACACAAAATTTCCAACCCTCTGCTACCATGTGATGATCTTTCCAAAAAAAATAAAATAAATTGCAGCCTAAATATGATAGCCTAGAATTTAGCCTGGGAGGGGGCGAAACTCAAAGTTGCTGTTGGAAGATTGTCCCTCTTATTTCAGTTACTGAAGAAATTTTTGGGCAATTTGAACGAAGATGCAAGGCTTGTAATTCTGTAGTTCTGTTCATATACTACAGTTAACCATGGTTTGCTTCACAATATTTAACTGAATAAACCAAGCATGGCTGGGTTCATACAACATATTTAAAATCTAAGCCATCGTTCACAAACCATATTATCTAGATTTTCTAAACATACTAAGCAAAGCCAAGTCACATTATGGCCTAGTATGGCATATGAAGCATCTGTCTGGGTTCATAGACTGCACTAAGCAACTACTTAGCAAATACTATTATTAACTAAACCACACTGAACTGGATTCATGCAGCATACTAAACCACGTATCATGGCTTATGAAGTTCAGTGGCGGGATTCATAAAGTTAGTACTATACCACATCAAGGTTTTTGTGTGAACTGGTCCCATATCTTGGCTAATCCATCAAGCAAAGCCATGGTTTATTTATCTATATACTACGAAAACTCTCATTGTGTTTATCTGTGTGTCTGTTTGTAACCTCAGGTTAGCCCAAACATTGCACTACCACAATTTTCGAATCAAGGTACCTAAAATCTGCTAACTTAAAAAATGCGTAAAAAATCCGGCACCCATTACTCCTGTGGAATTGAAATTTCTACGATGTTCAGACCAGTTTTATTCACAAAGTTGTGGCCGTTGCAACATTCTTGCGGCCATGTGATTGTGATTTCCGACAATCCCTGCCAGCTTCCCACAAGCAAAGTCAATGGGGAAGCTGGCAGGAAGTCAGAAGTCGCTCCTGGTCCCACTGCTTTTTTTTGCCCGCCTGTGGTCATTCTGTTTATCTGTTTAAGTAAGTAAATATTGACTTATTATTGAAGTTCATTTGCCACTACAATTATTTTTCTATTTATCATATATATTCTTCTTAGATGATCAAAGGACCATCCAGCATTGGGATAAAAAAAATATGGTCAGCCTAAAATTTAAGGTTCATCCTGGCACATCAGACTGCACTACCTTTCTCTCAAAAGATGACCCAACAGGTCACATGGTTGTCTAGTAGTTTTCTAAAGAAATTACAATAGGTTAGATTCCTATAACAAGCAAAATTACTGCTTTACAAACTCTAAAGCAGTGTTTTGCAATCTTGGCAACTTTAAGATGTGTGGACTTCATCTCCCAGAATTCCCCAGCCATGAGAAACACTTCTCTAAAGACTGAGTCTGCACAGCACATTAAAACAAAGCCTAGAAAGCAACATTAGGGCTGAATGGGTTTTGTGAAGCAAGCCATTAGCAAATAGTTTTGATAAGGCTCAACCAAACTTGTGGAGAAAATTCTCCCAATTTCCTCCAAGGGGATCCCATTCAAAGCACTAGCCATGCTCCAAAAAATGTGGAAATAACTCAGCACCAGCTTTAGTGGCAACTGCACAAAATGCCAGGTATAGAGAACTGTTCAGCTTGGAAAACGCTTGCCACAGACTAGTAATAGAGACCATTCAGTTTACTTCTTTCACTGACAACCCTGACCCACACACTGGATTGCTTTGTCTAAAATTCACATCGATGTCCACTCCAGAACGTCATGTTGTAAGGCGAGAATCCAAATCATTTCCGGCATGGCAGATAAATTGTATACTGCAATAAAAAGTATAGATTTGAAAATTAGTGCGTTGAAGATCAAAGTGATTGTGTCTGACAGGAAAATGGAGCGAGTCATTACAAGTTGCACATAAAATGGTGAAAAACCTATTGCAAGTAGATGCATTTGTGTACCTTGGTAGAATATTTACTGAAGATGAGAACATGGACAGAGAAATGTTAAGATGTGCAAATGCTGATAAAGGACACGGTATGATCTGTTGCAAGGAATGAATATTGACTGAAAGAAGTGAAAATGGTTGTATCTAAGAGCATTATGTGAAAATGAGAGCGGTCATGACAGAAGAAACACAGAAGTAACTTAGATGTAGTGGGAACAGGGTACTTATGAAGTGTGTGGGGTAAAACAAAAACAGATAGGATAAAAAATGAGTGGATGCTCACTGTGTGCAAAAGTAAAGTGACTAGTATGAAAGAAATACACTGAGGTGGTATGGCCATATCCAAACAAATGAGGATCAAATTGCAAAACAAATACATAAAGTATGGATGGGTCAAGAAGAAGGAAAAGTCAGAGAAAGTAGTGCCAGAGTCGATGAGATCTTCAATGATAAATGTAAAATATTTAAAGAAAAAAGACAATGTGCGAAGTAGCGTACAGAGGTGGTAGAAACAAGAATGGTTTGCAAGGAAAAAAAATATGTTTGGTAAACGGTGCTGGCCCAAATTAGATTTAACTGTATTCCATCTTCATTTGTTTTTTTACTCATACCTTAAATTGCTTCAGCGTACTGTTTTTCACTTTTTTTCTCTACTTTGCATCAAGTTATTTAGCCAGGAAAGGAATAGCGTGAGGGGTATGGATGGATGTACATATGTAGAGAAATAATGAGGGAAAATAGTTGCAGACATTAAAACATCAACACAGCACAATTGTATGGCAATCCTTCTGATTGCAGCCCAAGATAAGCGGACCTAGGATGGTCAAATTCAGTTAATATTCAGGCCCCTCCATACTTCACCGAGAGTTGAACAAAAAAACATGACAGCAAACTCCCAGGGTAGATGAGCTGAATTTAGTGGTATCAAATTTTAAACTCTTGCATTGCCCCAGGTTTCTAAATGAGAGCTTATTGCTGGGTCCTCAGAGAGAAAGAGCTCAGAGGCGCTGGCAGAGATGCAGCACGCTGGATGTTTGAAATCTGTTGCTCCTGGGCAGAATCTTCACAGAGCAGTCTTTTTTTTTCCCTCTAAGCCATTTGCATGTATGGATGTTTCAAGGCAAGATAGGAAATGGAAAAGTGCCATATTGCATTTCATTCAAAGTAGATTTTACAGATCTAATGGAGGAAAGAAATGAGATCTCGTGCATCACATAAAAAGAATGTAAAGCTAGCAGGCAGGAGCCTGTCTGCAGAGAACATGGTCTTCTTAAGATTAGCAAGGCAGTGGC